AAAATACCTCACAATAATTCTCATCCTGACATAATCCATATTGTGGACTGACAGTCCGGACTGGTGAAGTTTCCCTCCTCTTGCACAGCTCTGGCTGAGAGGGGAGACCGACATCCAAGAACAGCGTTGACCAGTGCCCCTCAGGTCCTGGATGATGGAGTGGTCAAACCACATCATCCACAGCTCCATCGGGAGCAGAAATTTGTGCAATTATGGGAAGACCAGTTAGAGTTCCACCAGAGATCCTCTCCTTTTTAATGTAATGTCCTTGAAATAACATAACGTCTGTGTTCTGCTGGCTCTGACTGTCGTAACAGATGCCTTAATTGGAAGGTGGGAACTTTAAATTTGTTAATTACTGTCATCTTGCAACAGAAATCTCGCTATAAGTACTCCCAGCGCCCAGCAGAATTCCCCTGACACATCCTCCCTGTAGGTCCTTCCGATCACAGGCTGTAGGTGCTTTCCCTTATATACTACAGCGAAGAGCAGACACTGAAGGAACGAGGTTGTCCCTTTGATGCTACAACGTGATTTGTCTTTGGACTTGATATATTCAGTTTGACATCAACTCTCAGATGCCATCCTTTCTGGATCTCCAAAACACACCCCACAGCAAGTCTTTTCTGTAGAATGGTTTCTCGGTCCCTCTGTCCTGGAAATGCTGCACGAGCAGAAATGTTTGTTCATCACTTTCCAGTACAAAGTGCCAACAGACCTTCTCCGGGGAGAAAGAAAGTCCAGGCTTGCTGCCAAATGCTTTTACCCTGTCTTAGGCCCTGGCATTGTTTTATGCCTTCTTTCCAGTTCTTATAATCTCCAGGACCACTGGGAGGCTCACGCAGGTCTCGGGCCACATCATTTTGATAACCCAGTGCGGGGCGAGTGGTACTGCTTCTAAAAGTGACAAATTTCTTGGACAAGCGACTCGTCATCCTTTCATTCTTTTCCAAACTCCCATGACAGCGCTACAGACAGATGTTACACCCTGAACCCCACTGCTAGACGCTTATCTTGAACCTTTGCCAGGGACTGTTCAGGAGAGAGCAAGAACAGTCAGCCGAGACGTAGGATGCCCATGCAGGAGTGCTCCCTCCTTTCACTTTACTTAAGAGATGAAGAAATTCATCAAGTGGCTCAGCCTCTCCACTCCCTAAAGGGGCACCAGTAATTCTACGCTGTTTAAAATCTCTCCAACCATTTTCTTTTCTCAGCATGGTCTAGCTGTACCTAATATCTTTATATTGCGTGTATATATATCTTTATCATATACAGATCTGTCTATCCGTAAGTCATCTTTGTCACCCAAAGTTTCAACGTTCACGTACGTGTTTACACTTGAGATTTTTGCACGTTTTTATCTCCTTTATGGTATTTTTATCTCC